CTGTGTTTGTGCTTCCCGGTTGCTGCCGCAGCCGATCTGACCCAGCACCGTCACCGGTTCCTGCGGAACACACCAAACCCGACGGGTTTTACCCCAAAATTCCCAAGAGGTACCCCTCAAAAAAGCGGGTGCAGGGTGTCGGGGTAACAACCGGCGGGGTTTACCTGCGCCGGGAGTAACACCGAGGCGAAGTCGTCCAGGTGATGGTGACTCTTCAGCACGTCACCGAGCTCCTCGATCCTCCAAGACAGCGCTACGGAGAGAGCGCAGGCGTTGGCCGCACCCCAAAACACCCCCAAAAAAATGGAATGGGGGGGGGGGGGGTGTCACCCTTCCCGGTTTGCGGCATCACCTTCCCGAATATCAAACGCTTTTTGGAACATAAATTTGTAGTTTTTCGTTAAATTTTCTTCCGGGGGGGAAACCAAAAACCGTCGGGGTACAACCGCGACCACCGCCACCGTTCCAGGAGGGACCGTGGACGGAGCCGAACGAGGCCACAACTTCACCCCGGCTGCTCCGCGAGGTATATTTTTGGGAGGGGGTGACGCTACAGGGACAGAAACGGGGCGACGGTGAGGACCGGCAGCAACCACCGCAAACGCCGACGGTACCGCCGACAACGCGGACGACGGTTTACCCTGGGGAGAAGCTGTTGGGAGAAAAAAGCGTGTAGGGGCTGCGGGAGGAGAGGGTCCGCTTGGGCCGGGGGTTTTCCGGGGTGGAATTGCTCCGTTTTTGGGAACCCTGTGAGAATTTAAAAAAAAAAAAAAAAAAGAAAAAAAATTTAAAAAGGGATGTTTTGGGGGGTGGGGTTTGGGGCAGAAAACAGTAAATTTGGGGTTAAGTTCTTGGCGTGCACCTTGGATGGAGTGGTGTAAGCGTCCAGCAGCTCATCCTCCTCTTCCTCGTCAAGGCTTCCAGCTCGTTAAGGAGCACCCAAGACCCTAATTTTTTGGGGGGATGCCCACCAACACCCCTTGATGGGGGCTTAACTGTAACGCCCCGTTATTTTTTTTAAGGA